AACTACTTCAATTAATTATGAATCTTAATCTTTGATTTGTTGAGGGCCAGACTTAAAATCTTTTGGACATTTCCAGTGACTTGACACAGAGTAATAGAAGGCTTTAGAGAAGGCCTTTGTATAGCATTGTAAGTAGCTGCAGTGTTTCCTGGCTTCTTTGTTAAGAATAAAAATGATATTCTGCATTTTTAATAGATTTGTCTAATTTTGAAATCTAAGTTCAACCTCACTTCTCTTCTATGGTGCTATATATTAATTCCCAATTAATGAAGGCTCCAGCGAAGCATGCCATGGTGACTGTAAATCATTGAAAAAGGGATGAAAAGTAGGTAAGAGTAGGTCAAGCTGCCAGTGAGTGGCTAGAAATACTAAGAGCAGTGAGAAATTATTATTAAACTAGAACAAAAATGTACCAAATCTTAATAAAGATAAAGCTGTCAATCATATGCAAAAATGGCTGAATTCAAACCAGAATCTAATTTGTTTTTTAAAAGAATCAGAATGATGTATTCTGATCTTACAGTGATAACAAAATACCTTCATCTATATATGTATCTAGGAAGGATATAAAAGTCAAATATACTACTAATAATGCACTATAATAGTCACATTACAAACTTAAAACCTCAGAAGTTAGTTTTTCACATGGTGGAGATTTCCTCTGGAGTTTCATTAGTGTATATCTTCATCTTGAAGACCATCAAACAGATCTGAGTGCTGCTATTTTTAGCTACCTTGAGTAGTACCTTCCTTTTCTCTTAATGCTGTTGACATTTACTTGAATATTTAGGGAGTAAGTTGCTCTCTGGTGTGCACAGTGATTTCAGGATCTACCTAGCAGGTAGTTTGAGGTGAGGTATAAGCAGTACTTTGGTTTTTTTGGTCTAATTCCTGCTCCTTAGCTGAGGCAAGATAAATCCCTTTCTTCCGCATGCATGTCTGACTCACTGACAGGCCCAGCCTGAAATTCTGAAGTGCAGTGTATCACTCCCATTGCAATTTCTATTTTTATGTCCACATACAACCTTATGAAGTTCAACAAGGCCAAATACAAGGTCCTTCACCTGGGTTAGGGTAATCCTCAATATTAATACAGACTGGGGGATGAATGAATTGAGAACAGCTCTGCAGAGAAGGACTTGGGGATATTGGTAGATGAAAAATTAGTTGTGAGCCAGTAACGTGTGCTTGCAGCCCAGGAAGGCAGCCATATCCTGGGCTGCTGTTTTGCCAATTATCAGGCCTAGCATAAAGGACACAGCCAGCATAAAGATGAGCCAAGAACCAAATTGTATTTGATACAAAAGGGTCAGTACATGGGTGAAGTGCTGGGGTACAAGTCAGTCAAATTTTACATAATCAACATCAATCCTACTGACCCCAACAACGACACCACACAACCAACAATGGGTGGAATAAATGGTGAAATGCAGTCTCCCATAGAAGGGACAGGAGACAACAAAGTCAACAAGCCAAATACATAAGACCAAGGAAGCCACACACTGAATCTCCACACAGCCCCTGTTTACAAAGACCAGACCTGACCTGACCTGACCGGAGCCCAGTCCCAGGGAGGCCCTTCCCCAACAGGGAACTCTGCACAGGGCATCCACCTCACAGACAGACACTGCCCCTCACTGCAAGTGGTCCCAGCTTTTATCCCTCAGTGGGACACCTGACCTTTGGTTACCTAGTGTGGGACACCTGGGGCTCCTTTACCCAATGGCTCTCCCTGCAAGGCCGCACCCTGGAGGGAAGCTTAAAGGTAAACTCACCTCCCCTTTGGGAAGGGCTGTGGGAATCACCCATATGTCAACCTTAATTTGGGGCTTGGGGTTGAAACCCCAGCATTTCAGCTGCATAAAAAGAAGTGTGTCCAGCAGGTCAAGGGAGATGATTCTTCTTCTTGACTCTGCTCCTGTGAGATCCCACCTGGAGTACTTCATTGAGCTCTGGGGTCCCTAGTACAAGACAGACATGGATCTGTTAGAGCAGGTCCAGAGGAGGGCCACAAGATTGATTGGAAGACTGGAACGTCTCTCCTATGAAGAAGGGCTTGGGAGTTGGAATTGTTAAACTAGGAGCAGAGAAGGTTCCAGGAAGAACTTACTTGCCCTTTCAATATAGAAAGGTGGCTTGTAAGAAAGATGGAGAGAGACATTTTGCCATGGCCTGTAAGGGGCAACAGTTATAAACTGAGAGTAGATTTAGACTGGATATAAGGAAGCAATTTTTATGATGAAGGTGATGAGGCACCGGAACAAGCTGCCCAGAGAAGTTGTGAATGCCTCATCGTTGAAAGTATTCAAGGCCAGGCTGGACAGGGCTTTGAACAACTTGTTCTAGTGAAAGATGTCCTTGTCTGTGGCAGGGGAGTTGGACTAGATGATCTTTGAAGGTCCCTTCCAACCCAAACCATTCCATGATGCTATGACTCCATATAAGAGGACCAAATCAATGTACCATGAACAAGATGAATTATAAAAAATCCTGGAGATTTTTTTAAAAAGGTGTTGAGGAAAAAAAAAAAAGATAATTGGAAATTTTGTCAAATCTGATTTTGAAGGAGGACTGAAGGCTAAAATTTGTTAGAGATACTCAGCATGGAAATTTCATCTTAAATAGTTGGGGAAAATCTTACTAGTGACTGAAAACAGGATCACAGAATGGTAAATGATTAGAAAATTTTATCAGTACTCATCACATCCAGTTTCAACTACCAGGTCAGTCTCAACAGTCCTAGTCATTCCCTTGGTTTTCCAGTATTACTGTCAGAGGAAATTAATAGGAACAAGCACTTTAAAGAGTATCCTAGAGTGGTATTAATTTTTATTTTCAGAATAAGGTTAACATCAGGCATCATCAGTCTCATTTTTCTGGTAGTACACAAATATGTACAATGCAACTCTAATGATGCTACTCATTCAATGAGTGTAATTTAGCTGTTAAATTAGTTTACACTGCTATGGAAATTTCCAAAGGGGGTGAAACTAAAGAAGTAAGTAGGTTTGCCTGAACATTTCAGTATATGGTCACAGATCTATACTTGCTTACAGTTGTGTAATGCAATGAACTTTAGTGGAAAGATCATTCTGAAATTAAATCATTCAACAATAAGCAGTATTTGTATTTGACATCATAGAATTACCTGTTTTTGTAGTAACCCCTTTATTTTTATTCAAACTGGTTATGTTCATCCACAATTTTTAAGAATGACAGTGTGCAGTCATTTGGGTCTCTGCTAATTCTTCCTTTTGATTTAGAGAATTTTTACCACTTATTTCTTAGCCATCCAGAGTGTTGTGTTGACTTCTGATACTTTTTCTCGCTATGCTCATGTATTTTCTTCCCAAGTTTCTACATTTTTCACCAGCCATTGCAATATACTTTCCCATCCATTTGTCTTTGGAAAGACGACCTCCTAAACTGCAGGGAGTTGGCAGTCTCTGCTTGTAGACAGATCCTGAGATTATCTTGGGTGAAATAGGCAGACAGGCAGCAGTATTGATTGCTCCTACATGTTCCTTCTATATCCTACATTCTCCTTCTATATACAAGTACTATTAGGAGCTTCCAAATGTGACAAGGGAGCTTTAAGAGGTGTCTCAGCTCTCAACTTGTGAGAAACCCTCAGCTGCTTATATCTATCCGCCTGCACAATCAGAAGGAAAGGCTAAGGTGCCAAACTTCACAATGGGCTTGTAGCAGCTTCTGTTAAGTTTGATGGTCAGACATATGTGCTCATACTGCTATTCTAGATTCATGCTCTGGGTATATTTACATGTAGTGCTTACTTTTTGAGATACTATTTCCAATTCTGTTTGTCAGGACTAGAAATTAATCTGAGAAGGTCCAGGTCTACTAATGTTAGTAGAATCTCTGCAGAGAGAAGAATCAGCTGTATTTATTTCCCTGAATAAAAGTCCTTGCTCAGTGCATGCTTTCCTCTCACCCTAGTCTTTCTCGAAGCCTTTTCTGTCATTCCTATAGTGCTGTGGACAGGGTGAAAGCCAGATTAGTTATGTAACAAAACCCAAATGCATCCTTGAGGTTTGAGTCTGCTTGGGCATGTGTTAATGGACTGTGTGCAGAGCATGTGGCAGATGTGTGGGCAAGCAGACTGCAAAACACAATCCTATCAATAAAGCTGTAGGACTTGAGGGCTTCATTGTTTCTCAGACTACCTTTATCCAGAGCCAGAGGGCTTCTGGTTTTTTGTTTGTTTGGTTTTTTTGGTGGTTTTTTTTTTTTTGGCTCCTGCTTCCCCCCGAAGGACAGCTTTCTTATAGAAAATCAAGGATAAGAGAGAGGTAAGACCTGTCTGAAGAGACCAGGGGGATCAGTCTGCTGAACTTGATACCTGAAGGCAGGGAATTTTCAGTCAGGTAGCCTGCATAGTAGAGAGAGGTAACAGTTCCTATTTGAAAATAAGAAGCAGGTGCAATCTGAAGTCTGCAGCAATAGCATGGATTTGTAAATTATCCCTATACAAGGAAGAGCTGCCTGCTAATGAGAAGTTATAGACTCTCCACTGTTTTTTATGGTAATATTTTGCTTTTTCTAATTCTCTTCCTGATACAGTTTTCTAGCAGAGCAGATAATAATAATGAAGAATTATAATCATGTAGCACTATTCTTACCCAACAGCAAATTCCGCCAGGATAATGTCAAACAAAGCTGCAAGCAATTTCTCAATTAGGGAAATAGTTTTCTATATTAATGCTATGGGAAAATAATGTCATCTCTCAGCTGATGGCAAACACAGTTCTAGATGAAATGATCTTTGGTTATAATAGTGATGAACCACTATGCAATTGCATGTCACGTTTTGACTGCACCTGTTTGCAAACTCAGGTTAATTATGCTCCGTTGTCTAATTGCTTATTTTATGGATGTTTTGCTCACATGTTTTAAGCAATGCTATTTGATTGCAGGTAACTAATGGTAGGGTTCTCTTCTCATTATCATACTTTAACATTTGATTTGTCTGATTGCTGCAGGTGGAAACAATAGGCGATGCGTACTGTGTTGCAGCAGGGCTCCATAAGAAAAGCCTTAGTCATGCTAAAGCCATTGCCTTGATGGCACTGAAGATGATGGAGCTTTCAGAAGAGGTTCTCACTCCAGATGGGAGCCCTATTAAGGTAACCCCTTTGTTCTTTATTTGCAACTAGTCAGTGGTACCTGGACCTGATTAATTCCATTGTGTTCTGTCAGTTGAAATCTGTTTATTTCTGTAAGAATTTAAAATTTCATCAATATGTCACAGTCTTGTTTATGGACATTTATTTCATTGGTGCCCATCAATAATCATGTAAGCTATGCTTTAGTTTTGTAAGCACAAGTAGAATGTGCAGACTAGCTGTTGCCTTTTATGCACCAAATGCCTATTTGTGTCTGGAGTGCATCAGATGCACTTCTGGAGCCCTTCTTCCAATTCATTTTAGTGTGAGAAGAAGACAATTCATATAACAGCACTGTCCCATGCTACAAGCCAAAACACAGTATGTGATGGCAATAGGAAAATTCACTTCAGAATTAGGGTCCTGATCTGAACTTCAGCGCTAGCATATAGGCACTCGGAGAGACCCATAGATCTCAGGGGCCACACACATGTTTTCTAAATAGCTGTTGACCTGTAAAGAAGAAGATTATGTAGTCTGCCTGCTCTTTCTCAGTGTTAGTGTACTTCCTTCCCATGCTACTCCAGTTCTTTCTAGATTGGTACAGGAGGTAACAGGAAGTGGAAAAACACATGTCCTTTTGTACCATTTCAGAGTTCCACTGCTGTTCTGCTAATGTTGACCTTATACCAGCCTTGGAGCTGCTGGCATTTGGAATTGATAATGTTTCGATAGGAGGTGGAGATTCAGTAGGGAGGAAAAAACATGGAGAGATATCTATGCCCTTCTTTTTCAAGGGTCAGATTGCACGTTGTTTTCATTATGTGTACTCACTCCTCTCTCTGGTTAAATTGTTCTTCCCATAATACAAACATTTTGTTTTCAAAGAAAAGGGGGAAATTATGTAGAACAATTATTCAACACTGTCTAAAGCCCATAACGAAAGCCATATGTAGTTGAATGCAAAGGCTGGACAGACTTCCCATGGGATGATTTACATCATGGTTGAAATGCACTTTGAAAACTGCAGTTCCTCATGTCTGTTAAAAAAAGAGGGTTGCATCCAAAATGCCTTTTTTGTATTATTATTATTTTATTCCCCAAACATTGAAGGACTGTTTAAAGGTTTAAAATTTGACAGAAAGGAGATAAAATTTTTAAAAATACATTCAAAGATGTTGCTGTGATGCTCCTTGAGCAATAAAATTGTATACTTCTGAGTTCCAACTCCTTTCTGTTAGGTTATATGTTGAACTGTATTCCTTGAACGCTTTGTATATGGTGAATCAAAAGAGATTTAATCCAAGTGAATTCTTCTGCCCAAAAAGGAGATTATTGATGCAAGGAAATCAAGCTAGAAATTCCATGAAATATGGCAATGTGATATTCAAATTAAAATATATTGGGTTCTGGATAAAATATTTTTAGATATCTATGCTGCTGATGATTTTTTTTTTAATGTTAAAAAATATTTATTTGTTTATTCAAAAGAAGAAATATCTTGGACTATGGATCTTGAAGAAAAATTTTAAAGCTTCATGTGGACATTCATCGAACTTAAAATAAGTACTGAAAGACAAATGTTATCTGAAGATAACAGAAGACATAGCGTTTTTATTTTTTGATATAAAACTGTTTCAAATGGGTATTAATTTAATCCTACTAAAATAGATTTTCTAGATTATTTGATGATTTCTCTATTTTACCACTGACTATAGCTGAATACATTCTAGCTACATTGTCACATGCTGGGAGAGCTGTCTTCCAGATCATTTCCATCTTCATTTTCTTTTGAGTGATAACTGCAGTTATTGAGAAATTTTGAAGGTGTATGTTTTACTCTGGGAGTCATAGTTTGTGGCTGTTTTCATTTCCACTCACTATTTTTCAGAAAATTCCTCATGATTTCAGTGGCTGCATAAGAAAACCTATAAAAGAAAGACTATGAAGACAATGCAGAATAAAAATGCTTGCATAGAGTAAAACACTATGAATAACCAAATATTTTCAAGAAGTGCTAATAAGCCTCCTTTAGAATTCAGAAGAAAAAAGTCAGTTCATACTTAAACTGAAAGTAGAGGTACTGAGAAGATCTTCAATGGGTGTTAGTTGTCCTGTCTTCAGTTTTAGGGGACATACATTTCAGAGCAGGAGGGATGGTGATATCGTAAAATGTTGTTACCTTTGTAACTAACCTGGTAAATAGTGTTTACAAAAGCTTATCTTTCATAGAGGTATCTTGATTTGATTTTAAATATATTAAGGTTAGGGTTCCTCTTGCTTGGATTTCTACTCTGTAAAACTATTGAAATAAGGACTTTTGAAGATGGCTACTTTAATTTGTCCCAGTTTAGGCGTCTACTCTAGGATGAGATGAGTCACGCCCTAAAAATGTGTATTTTCTCAGTTGTCTGGAAGTGAAGTCTATGGACTTAGTCTAAATGTGGATGTCTACACTATAAGCTTCTTCACTCTGTCAGATGAGCCCTCCTACAAATGGCAAAGAACATATTTTTTTCTTAGTGATTACGTCAATGATCGTCACAGTTAAAAACATGCATTATTTCTAAATTAAATTGGTATGACTTCACCTTCCAGCCAATGTTGAATTGGCTAGAGTGATTCTTATATTAGCAGTCAGTTTTTCACTTAAAAACCATGAAGGTGCTTATCATGCCACAGTTAACAATGTTAACAAATACTCCATGTGCATAATAAAGTCTTAAAGCTGTGTCAGGGGAGGTTCAGGTTGGATATTAGGAAGAAGACATCAAGCACTGAAACAAGCTCCCAGGGAAGTGGTCATGGTCCCAAGCCTGACAGTGTTCAAGTGTTTGGACAGTGTTAGATACAGGATTTAACTTATAGGTTTCCCAGTGTGGAGTCAGGAGTTGGACTTTGTTCTGTAATCTACCTGAAGTTTAAGGCACACCTAGGTATGTGTAACAGTTACTATAGACTCAGCTCAGAAGCAGTCATAGGAGATTTACTGTGTGACACATTTTACAGTTAAGCATTGCCATTAAAATATTTAAATATTCATTAACATTAGATACAAAGTACACAATGTAGACTATAATATGTTTGTAAATGACTTGACTTCTAAACAGTGAATTAAATTGTACTATAATGTGGTACTTTGAGCTGGTCCTGTTGATATGAAAGGCAAAACAAGTGCAGTATTCTGACCTTAATTGTTACCTGTGATTCATGTTAACGAGCACGAGTCGCATTTTTCTGAGTCCTTGCCAAGTGCGTTGAATACAGAATGCTGATGCAGCTTTTGTTGTGTTGGAAAACCTATGTCAGTATTTGGATATTTGAAGAGAACTTGCAATCAGAGGGCAGCTTTCCTCATGGCCAATGTTTGGTGTCTTTGACAGCTTTCATGAGCTGCTGTGACTAAATTCCAACTTTATCCTTCAGGATAGTCCAGTAGCTATTTTGAAAAAGACAGACAGTTACTTCACTAGTGCAAGACAATTTTTCAAAACATAATTCCTAAAAATAAGGGACCTTGTGATCTCAGGAGTGAACAACAGTGTTCTGTTTTCTCCCCACCCTCCAACTGGCTGATAAGTCTTGATTAAATAGGAAGAAATCATTCTCAGGCACATGACACCACAGTTATTTGAAGTTCAGTTTCTGTTAGTAAGCTAGCAATTACAGCACAGTTATTCTGTTCTGATTGCGTTTTCTAGTAAGAAACATGCTGAATTCTCCTTGGTGATTGCAAGGGATTTCTTTTCCAGAGGCATATCCCTTGTTTAAGCTCCTTGAGGTCAGCACTGTAAATTGTGAGCTCAGAAGTTATTCCCCAGGTTTGTGGGGTGTGACTGATACAATTCATGTTTAAAAGACTAATTACTTAGGGGGCAACATGTTTTTTAGAGTTATTATGGATCTCTTAGGGTTGTGCTCATAGCAGAGATTTCAGCTCTAGGGAAACCTCACTGCAGTTATGAAGTGTAGTGCTTTTTATTTGTTGATTACTCAATTAGATATGTCTATGATTATGTTTTATGGAAGATGGATTTATTTGGTTGTCGTTTCAGGACTGAATTCAGCAGAATGCAAATATTTACTTTTTGTAGCTCTTTAAATGTTCATCCCTGCGATAGTGGCAAATATCTTATTAAATGACACTTAAGAGTCTCAAAGTTAGGAAGAAAAAGTAAATGAACAAATGAAAAAATACCATATCATAAATAGGAATTTAGGATAAGATTTTCACCTATAAAGTGCATTAGCAGACAATCCAATGAAGTTTGTTATCTGAGTACACAGTTATTGTTTGAAAATACTCATTGTAGTGATCACAAAAATACTTTGTTTGTACAGCCATGTACACTTCATGAAAACATCTGCCCCTTAGAGCAATGCTTGTGTGGCCAGTAAGTAGTGATGGACCTCAGGATGGTGACAAAAGTGCATGCAACAGGTCTGGATTATATCCAGATAATGCTCCCACCCCCTGAGTTGGGGCTCATAGTGTGCTGATGAGAGCTTCATGGTACTCATGTACTCAGGCATTTGACACTTCCAGCAGAGCCAAAGGCAGCAGAAATGCATAAGCAGAATGGAGACCCTGAGCCTGCACTCCTTATGAATAGCTCCCTGCATGAATAGCCTTGGATTTGCAGGGTAATGAAAAAATGTTGTGCAGAAAGAGGGAGCGAGCTATATTATAGCAGCCTCCACAAATCCTATCATCAGTGTTGTAACACAGTCTGCTCTTTTTGAAAGAAATATTTGTAGCAGAAAATGAGCTGCTCATTCTCCTGTGAGTGATGAAGGCTTCAGGTCCCTGTATGATTTTTTTTTTTTTAAACTCTATTCTGTTTGAGGCAAAATCCCATTCCTTTAGCATGAGCTAAGGCCTTAATACAAAAGAAGAACTTCTGTCTCAGACACTGCATGTAGAATTGTATATACATTTACATCCTTTTGGCAAAACACTTTTTAGTCCAGAAGCAGTTGCTTGATTTAAGTTCTGTACAACTAATTATATCTAGTGTCCT